TTTATTTATTTATTTTATTATTTCATTATTTTTTATTTTGGTTATATTTTATTTTGTTTATATTTTTTCATTAATAACAAGAAATAAACAAAGTCAAGAGAATATCAATGAATGAACAAAACAACAAAACAAAACAAACAATTCGCACTGAATAAAAGAACTTTCTCGAAATGTTGCATGGTATGGAATGCGAAAATTGTTCTCAATGCTTCTTTGTCAACAAGTTTACTGAACTTTACGTAACCCCTGATACAATACAGTTTTGATTCTACATGAATTGAATAGTTAAATGCTAAAATCATTCTTCATTTGAGAGTGTGTCTTTAAGTTATAAAGGTTAGTAATTTGACTGTGAAGTCACACAGAGCTACACCGGGAAATTTTGGTGTATTTTTCGTATTTGTTTAACCTGTAATACTAAACACAAGTCTTTATGATTCACCAAATTCAAAATAAACACTGCGTAGGCCATGTGTATCAATAGAGACTGGTATGACGTCACAGTGAAAAGTTTGAACCTTCATAACTTGAAAACGCAACTTTAAACGAAAAAACATTTTACCCTTCAACTATTCACTTCATATAAAATCAAATACAAAAAAAAGTGTCTCAGTCTTTAGGAGCACTTTAATTTTACTCGTAACAAATAATATCAGATATTACTGAAGAAACATGTCTCGAATGAAAAGTCGTCATGATTCAATCAATGCACCTTCATTTTGACTATAGGGTCATTTTTGAGCAAATTTTTGAGCGAATCTTTGAGCAAATTTTTGAGCAAATTTTTGAGCAAATTTTTGAGCAAATTTTCGACACTCATGTTCAAATTTGCCAGATATACTAATCTTGGGATGTTTTTTCAAATCAATTAAAAAAAGAAAGATTAAAATTCAAAACTCGTCTCAGTCTATTGCTCGTTCTAAAGTGGCCAATAGCCCATTCTATAATACAGAATACATTTCCCCCCAATTATTTTATGTGGTAAAAAATATATAGTTTAGAATGAACATGTTTTCTTTCTTAAAACTTTGTTTTAATTACAAAAAAGGTCAATAGATTAAGGAAGAAAGAGAACTTTTTCTAGAACTTTAGTAATGACGGTATTCGAGATATTATGCTCTAAGGCGATTGAAAATAGAGGGTAAGACGTCATAACATTCTTTGGTCCAATTCTATATAATGGTAGTCTAATTAAGGTTTTTAATAAAATGGTGCATTTGTAAGTCATATTCTTTTTCCAGTAGGTCAACCGAGACATTCTTGAAGTGGTTCAATCCTTGTCCTTGTCACTGTCCTTGTGAAAAATATCCGCCATTTTTGTATTGGTAAAGATAGAAATACATTTAAACATTTATGATGTGAAAATTAAAAGTCTTAATTAAAAAAAACAAAAACAAAAACAAAAAAAACTAAATGGCAATCAACTATAATCAATCTAAAAGCCTAGCATTTGAGCAAAATAAAGAAACTCGGCCAAGATCACTATAGATCATCATGACCATAATACGCCAAATATACTATAACCTCTGTAATATTACCCTAAACAAATGAGATTAATGACAAATGTTTGATTTCAAAGTATGAACAAAGATTTGAAAGAGTTTTTCAGCGCCGACTCAGGTTGAAGGCCCGAAAAATCAAATTAAAATGTTTTTTTTTTTTAAGTTTATTTTTAAGGAGGGTGAAAAAACAGCTTTCCATTTAACTGAAAAAAACCGGAAAGTCCGGTTGGAAAGTCCCGTTGTAAGACTCGACCTTCAAATTGAGGGAATCAAATTCCCGCTCTTTTTGGTTCTCCCGGCACACGCGTGTAAAATTTGTTGGAAGGCAACACTTCCCGATATTTTTTGTATTATTACTAAACAAATTTCTAACTGGATGGATTGGTTTAAATGGTAACGAAGCACCCCAGAGAAGAAAACCCTCGAAGCATAGGAGAGAACCAATAAAGGCACTCTAATTCGATTCACATCTGACGGCCGGTCCTAGGATTTAAGAGTCAATGTCTGTAACGGTCGAGTACAGTATCCGGGATCCTCGGACAGTTGGAAAAAAATCGAAATTGCTCATACTTTGCCTAAATACATAACCTTTGTTTTGAGAAAGTTTTGAAAATAGAACTTTAAGTCCTGGGCGCCTACAAACCTTTTTTTTTTTTCTTACAAAGACTCTTTTTTCAACTGTCCGAGGACTCTCGACCGTTACAGACATTGACGCTTGCATGCGTATTGGCATTGACACCGCTCAGTTTCCGACCAAAATTTAATTTTTTAAAATAAAGACAGTTGACAGTTATAAATGACTTGTGCTTCTGATAAATTAAAGTTTTCGTAATAACTGACCAAGTTAAATTAATTTAAGGTTTTCTTTTAATTAGAGAGCTGATCTTCTTCGTCATCTGCGAAACAGCTGTTGTGGGGAAGCTCTGTTGAAGTCATTCCGCGTAGCGCGTAGCCAGTACTGAAAGAGACTTCTTAAGCTCACGAAAAGAAGGTAAGTAGAAAAAAATAAACCAAATTCTCGATATGTGTGAAGTTTTTCTAGATCAAAACACATGCATACGTAGAACCCGCTTTAGATAAAAAGAGTAATTCAGTTAGAAAACAAATTGTTTTTTTTTTTTTTT